TCTGCATGCCAAGATAGCGACGCAGCTCTCCAAGTTCAGTGCAGGTGTGGCTCTTCAGCAGCTCGGCCTTCACGGAGGCCAGTGCGTCCCTGTCAGCAGTAGCGAAGACCAGGTCGTCTACGTAGACAAGGATGTAGGACGGAGTCTGGCCGGAACGCACAAAAAACGAGGGGTCAGCAGAGGACGAAAAGAACTGCAGGTCTGCTAGCGTGGCACGTAGCTTGTCGTGCCACTCGCGGGGAGCCTAGCGCAGGCCGTAGACCGGGCGCCTGAGAAGCCACTGGGTCCCAGGGGGGAAGGTACCAGTGAAGCCTTGTTGTCGGCGCAGGTAGACCTGCTCGTGTAGGCTGCCCTGAAGAAAGGCAATAGAGAAGTCGAGGGAGTGAAGCTCGTAGTCGCGCTGTGCTGCTACGTGTAGCAGTGCCCGAAGAGTGGTCATCTTCGGGGTCGGGGCGAAGGTCTAGAAGAAATCAATCCCCTTGCGCTGGCTGAAGCCTCTGGCCACGTACAGTGGCAGGAAAAATTGTCCACATGTTTAGCATATTTTTACATTTTGACGAGCTGTACGCTATAAACATTAAGCCTTAATTCATGGTGGCCATACACGTAGAGAGGAGCAGTTAGAGCACTTACTCAAATCTCCTAAAACCAGAGTAGTATATTTAATGGTCCTTCAACACGATAGCATTTAATAACAGCACATCCGGACAATTTGTACCGAGGATAGGCAGCAAACTAGTTTCTAGCAACACTAGTACCTAGTCAACCGACACTTGGCCTTGATCACCACCTACACCCTCCTAGGCATCTTATCTACGAGGCAAACCTTTACAGGGATCTTCTCGCACTCTTCTTGGACCCACGCTTTTGCATAAGGGGGTGAGCACTAGGAAAATCGCGAAGTATTTGAACGTATGCAAGAGTACTGTGTACGATTTCATATTGAATGTTATCTCAGAGACTAACCATGCTAAGGTGTGGCCAAAGATGTCATAAGTCGATTGGTCTCGTCTTATCATGGATCGTCTTCATCGTACCGTTGTAGGTAAAAATTACGAGCAGAGTGACAAAAACAAGCGTGGCCGCTGCGAAACTTAGAGTAACATAGCACGGTCGACAGTGCATCCTTGCACAATTAGAATTGCGCTAGGATCCGTAGGTCTCGTCACGGTGCAGCAGTCGAAATAGTCGCGACTGTTCAGAAAGAATATCCGGGTTGAGATCTGGTGAGGAAAAGGGTCACTCTAGCAGCACCTATCTGATCCATATCTAAATCAAAGATCGTACAGCCAGGCGACGAAGTCAACCGCGTGGCCTTCAGCGTCCAGGCGGAGGACAAAGTCAGCCATCGTGCAGGGTCAGCGACACAGGGACACAGCGGCACAGCTCCACACGACACAGCGGCACAGGGACACAGCAGCACAGCTCCAGGGGGACGTCGGCAGGATGCTCCAGCGCTGGCAAGCAGAAGACACGAGGCCGGAGACTTGAGGAACTGTGCCGAGCAGAAGACACGGAGCCATTGGAGCCGGGCGGGCACTGGGAGCTGCGGGCCACAGGAGCCGGGCGAGCGTATCGGGGCCGGGCAGGCGCTGGGTGGGGCCGGGCGGGCGGTGTGGGATGGGTGGGCGGAACAGGCCGGGCGGGCGCTAGAAGGGGCCGGGCGGGCGCTAGGAGGGGCCGGCTAGGAGCGGGCGCGAATGCCCAGGGGGTCGGCTAGGAGCGGGCACGACGGCCAGGGGGCCGGCTAGGAGCGGGCGCGTACGGCCAGGGGGGCGGCTAGGAGCGGGCGCGACGGCCAGGGGGCCGGTTAGGAGCGAGCGCGAACGGCCAGGGGGCCGGCTAGGAGCGAGCGCGACGGCCAGGGGGCCGGCTAGGAGCGGGCGCGACGGCCAGGGGGGCCAGCTAGGGGCGGGCGCGACGGCCAGGGGGCCGGCTAGGGGCGGACGCGACGGCCAGGGGGCCAGCTAGGGGCGGGCGCGACGGCCAGGGGGCCGGCTAGGGGCGGGCGCGACGGCCAGGGGGCCGGCTAGGGGCGGACGCGACGGCCAGGGGGGCCAGCTAGGGGCAGGCGCGACGGCTTGAGGGCCGGCTAGGGGCGGATGCGACGGCCGGGGGGCCAGCTAGGGGCGGGCGCGACGGCCAGGGGGCCGGCTAGGGGCGGACGCGACGGCCAGGGGGCTGGCTAGGGGCGGGCGCGACGGCCAGGGGGCCAGCTAGGGGCGGGTCACGAGGGCGGCTAGGGCCTAGGGCGGAAGCGTGGGCGGGCGAGAGGAACCTAACCTACTCATGATACCATGTTAGAAAGTGAAAATAGTATGACTAGTGTAAGAAACCTAGAACATATACCTATTGGGGTTGTACTCACTAGAAGCACACACCTATGCTAGCCTATAACTTCTAGATACAGCATATGTATAAGTTGACAGAAGAACCCACACACACCCACACCCCCATTCCCAGCAGCAGCCACGACTACTCCGGCATGGCCAACCCCACGGCCCATGAGTTGGCGACGGCGACAGCGGCGGCGGCGGCGGCGTGCGGCGGCAACAGGTCAGCGGCGACAGCGGCAGCGGCGGCGGCTTCGACGACAGCAGCGACTGCAGTGGCTCCCGCCCTCTCGTCGGCGTGACCAAGCTCCGCGACGATGGGGAAGACCCTCACGAGTCAGGCGTCGGCTGTTGCGAGGAGGAGGGGACGAAGGGGAAAAATGGGGGGGGGGACGGGGCGTGGTCCAGCATCTCGCCCGTGTCTGGCGTCCGGGTGTCAAGTCGAGCGGCACCTAAACGGGGCGCTGGCCGCTGCCGACCGTGCCGTACGCGCGCTGGCAACACGCCGCCACGACAGCACGACAGCGCCGTCACGCCGCCACAGCTCGACGTCGACGGCATCGTCACGCCGCCACGGCTCGACGTCGACGACGCCGCCACGGCGTGACGTCGACGCCACGACAGCGCGACGCCATGGCAGCGCGACGCCACGGCAGCGAGACGAAACGGCCGCGGCAGCACGACGCGGCCGGCGGCACGACGACGACGCCACAGCAGCACGATGCGGCCGCCATGGCAGCGCGAGAGGGAGAGGAGGAGTGTGCGGCGGAAGCGTCCGGAGCAGGCCTAGGAAGGGCAACCTCCTGTGTTACCATGTCACGAGAGCTAGGTAGCTAGGAAGCCATGAAATGGCGTGAAGGTTTAGCTAGGAGAAAGTTACGAGAGAAAAGAGATCAAGAATAGAAGAGAGAGGGATACAAGGAGGGGTGTTGTACCTTCTACAATAGGTTTTAGTAACAGCTACCAAGCCTACAATTATATAACAAATATATAATTTAACAGTTAGAGCGTATTCCTACGAGCCTCTTCCCAGGCAACCTCTTCACAGACTCATGCGCGACCTTGCGAGCGTGTTCCCAGGACCACTTTTCGGAATACTCCCATTTCAGATTTGCGTTCCATCGCTCTCAACCACATAAAACCAGCTGGCGTCGAAAATTTACTGCGCAAATTCGCGCTTGTCTGAAAATCTGCTCGTCTAAAAAGAGGTTGTAAAATACGCCCCTGAAACTCAGGAAGTCGAATCTCAGTTCGCATTTAGCGGAATCGCAGTGAAACATTTCGTGCAAAATTTGCGACACTTTAGCACGCGAGTCTGGGAAGAGGTGTCAAGATACTAGAATCTAGGTAGGAGGGAAGCCATAGAATGGCGTGAGGGTTTAGCTAGGAGAGGAAGTTGACGAGAGAAAAGAGGAGAGAATAGAAGAGAGAGGGATACAAGGAGGGGGGTTGTACCCTCTGCAGTAGGTTTCAGTAACACCTACCAAACCTACCAATTATATATCAAAGATATAACTTAACACACCCCCTAGGCTTGGTAGCCGAAAGCACACCAAACACGGGACACTAAGCCACACATACCCCCTAAATCTAGCACCCCCCTACTCAGTAGCAGCGACGGCTACACCAGCCTGGTCAACCCCTCGGCGCGTGAGGCGGCGACGTCGACAGCAAGGGCTGCGGCGGCGACGGCGCTAGTGGCGGCAGCGTCGACAGCAGCGGCGGCTGCGGCGGCGGGGCTCGCAGCACTCGGCGGCGTGGCTTGGCTTCGCGACGGTGGGACGGCCAGCGGGAGTCAGCCATCGGCTGCGGCGAGGAAGAGGGGACGCAGGGAAGGGGGGCGGGGCTTCTGCAGCGCGCCCATGGCGGGCGTGCGGGCGTAAGGACCGGCGGCGCCTAAGACGTCACGCGGCCCGCTGCCGCCCGTCGACGCCGCCACTGCAGCATAAAGCCGCCTCCACAGCACGGCGTCGATGCCGCGGCGGTACGTCGACGCTGCGACGGCAGCACGACGCCGTCGCCGCGGTGTGGCGTCGACGCCACGCGTCGGGGCTGCGACGGCAGCACCACGACACCGTCACTGCAGCGCGGCATGGCCGCGACGGCGGCACGTACCGTAATCCCCCGTATATAACACCCTATGGTGTATATGAAAATTCACTAAAAAAATGACTAGGTCTTAACAGTGGCCCGGAAAAATATAGTACCCATGTGTTATGTAAAATGCAATTTGAATTTGAGTGTTTCAGGCCATCTGTGTTCAAAAATGCGCGGAGCGACTGTTAGCGAGGTACAACATCCGCTAAGACGAAACTCATGAACCAATCGTCGTTGGCCAATCCCTGCTGAGTTGTGCGACACCTGCAACCGTCATGATCGCGACAGAATCCGCGACTTCGACGGGAGGATTTCGCTCGGGAGGATTCTGACCGTCAAATCACAATTGAATCCGCGACTTCGACGGTCGAAATCCTCCCGAGTCTCGACCTTTGCTGACGTTTCGATTTCGCGCTGCAACTTGTGTTGATGTTTCTGCCCGTTTTTTCGCTGCTAATGGTAGTTGACATCGCGTTTTTCATCCTATTAGTTTTTTTTCCTCAATCGAGCTGAGCTTGAAAAACTACGAAATACTGTTCTTTGCTGCATAAAACGAGGGGGGTGTTATGTAAAATGCAGCCCCCGAAAAGCGGGTGCTCTCCTAAATTCACCCTATCATAAGCTCTCCCCCGCATAAACCACCCGCGGAGTGACTATTTCGGCTGGTGTTATATACGAGGGATTACGGTAAGTAGCATAAATTACGACTGAAGTATGAGTACGCGGCGGAAGCGTGGGGAGCAGGCTGAGGAAGGGCAACTTGCTCTGATACCATGTAAAGATGCTAGAATCTAGGTAGGAGGGAAGCCATAGAATGGCGTGAGGGTTTAGCTAGGAGAGGAAGTTGACTAGAGAAAATAGGAGAGAATAGAAAAGAGAGGGATACAAGGAGGGGGGTTGTACCCCCATAGTAGGTTTCAATAACACCTACCAAGCCCACCAATTATGTATCAAAGATATAATTTAACAAGAGGTTGCTTGGGAGGCTGGAAGGAACACGCTCTTAGACCATATATTCCGTTCAGCATATATGCTCTTGGGACTCGCCCTAGGTGCATGTACAAGGAACAGCCAATCATGGCTCAACAGACTATGTACACTGGCAATATTTATAACGGCAAGGAATGAGCATCAGCTATCTCTCAAGAACAAGTGCACGGCTGTGTTGCATCGAAGGCGTTCTTAGTAGTAAATGGTCATCGTGCGATGATGACACAATGGAGCCGTAGATTCCATTCCCAGCGACCAGAGCAACCAGTCCAGCTCTACACTTAAAACCTGCCAACAGCACACGCCGTACAGCACGGAGAGTGGAGAGAAGCACATATCACACCACAAATGAAGAGACCAGGATGCACACAAGAAAATGCATCATGGGAGAATGGAACTTCCGAATTGCATCCCACCGAGAGCGTCCAAGCAATCAAAGCTCTCCCACCTGCTTCCCCACTCGGCGCTCCAATCGCACTCGAAGGCGCTCCGTCGCAACAATGCAGCACGCCCTCACCTCCACCTCCTTCTCCGAACCTGCCACGGCCGAAGGGACATTGCAGAGCAGTCAGGTAATTTGTTTTGAGGCGGCTCAAAAGTCGCCTTGGTCGAATTAACGCAGCACGCCCTCACCTCCACCTCCTCCTCCGAACCTGCCACTGGCAGACGGACACCTGGCACAGCAGTCAGGTAATATTCCCAGCCTTCCCGGCCTATTCAAGGAACACCAATGCTGCATGCTCTCACCTCCACCTCCTCCTCAGAACCTGCCACTGGCAGACGGACACCTCGCACAGCAGTCAGGTAATATTCCCAGCCTATCCAAGGAACACCAATGCTGCATGCTCTCACCTCCACCTCCACGTGTGGACCTGCCATTGGGGAAATGGACAGCAGCACACCAGCAAGCGACCCAGCCCATGCCAGTTGAACTCTCCCCTCACCTGCTAGTATTTGCTGCCTGCCATCCACTGATTGCGCCAATCCCTCTGCGTATTTGAGCACGCCCCTGCTTCTCAGCACGGCAGGTACAATGTAGTCTGCAAACATGGTGAGGCTGTGGACGTCCGAGAAGTGACCCAGCCCACGCCCGTTGAACGCGCCCCACACGTCCGCCACGAAGATCTGCGCCCTCTTGAAGAGCGCCACCTGGCGGCCGCGGTAGATTGCGTGGTCCTGGAAATCTGCGAGGGAGGGCATAGAGCGACAGCGTGCACAGCAGAAAAGAATATCTATACCGGCCGAGAAATACATGCAGTTTTGAGGCGCCTCAAAACCGAGAAATACATGCGAAATATGAAATTTGCACAGGTGAAGTACCATGTGCCATGTGAAGTCTCCTGCAAAAGAAAGAGAGAAAATGATGACTTGCCCATGAAGTGGGTTGTGAGCATGTTCACTAGCCTCTCTGCACCCCCCCTGCCTCAACCACCATATTTGCTGCACCGCCACCTAAACGCCGCAGCAAACCCCCTCAACCCACCTTGCCTTGCCCTGCCTTGCTGCCTCACATATCAATGTGGACACCACTCCAGACACATGCAATGCTCACATGTGAAGTGGGCTGTGAGCTTGCGCACTAGCCTCTCCGCACTCCCCCCTGCTTCATCCATCATGTTCGTTGCAGCAGCACTACCACTGAATCGCCACAGCAGCACCCCTCCGCATAGACTTGCTGCCTCAAACATCGCTACTGCCTTAACCACTCAACTACCAGGCAATGCTCACATGTGAAGTGGGCTGTGAGCAGGCGCACTAGCCTCTCCGCACTCCCCCCTGCCTCCACCACCATATTCACTGCACTGCCACTGAATCGCCGCAGCAGCACCTGCCCCACCTGCCGTGCTGCCTGCACCCGCTGCTGCTCCAGAGGGAAGGGCTTGGGGCCCAGCAGAGCACGCAGGCCTGGGACTGGGGGAGAAGGGGTGGGGAGGAACAACAGGGCAGTAAGAAAGAGCCTCAAAACCACACCTGCCTGCACCCGCTGCTGCTCCAGAGGGAAGGGCTTCGGGCCGAGCAGAGAGCGCAGGCCTGAGACTGGGGAAGAAGGGGTGGAGAGCGGTGGTTTCAGGTGTGGAGGGTTGATTCGAGGCACCTGCTGCTGCTCCAGAAGGAGGGGCTTGGGTCCAAGCAGAGCACGCAGGCCGGGGACTGGGAGATTGGGTGGGGGAGAGGGGCTTCAAGGCGGGCTTAGGGATGGGCTGATTAGAGGCACCCGCTGCTGCTGCTGCTCGAGAGGGAAGGGCTCGAAGTCGAGCAGAGCACGCATGCCTTAGACTGCAAAGAGCATGGAAAGAGGAGACCTGACAGACTATCAGGTAGACAAATCCCCATCCAGCAGAATCCTAGCAATCCCGCGGTCAAACTCGGTGAGTCAACGTGAATCCATGGAGAGAAGCATCCAAGATCCATGATTCCCCCAAGCCCACCATCAAGTGCTGCGAGGCGAGCAGCATCTATACTGCTGGGATCGGACTGCACTGCCGCTCGTAGGCCGGACGCCAGGTGCTCGTAGTGCAGAGAGGGGTCTGCCGGGGGTGGAAGGGGAGGGAAGGGGAGGGAAGGGGAGGGAAGGGGAGGGAAGGGGAGGGAAGGGGAGGGAAGGGGAGGGAAGGGGAGGGAAGGGGAGGGAAGGGGAGGGAAGGGGAGGGAAGGGAGGGAAGGGGAGGGAAGGGGATGGAAGGGGATGGAAGGGGATGGGAGGGGATGGAAGGGGATGGAAGGGGATGGAAGGGGATGGAAGGGGATGGAAGGGGATGGAAGGGGATGGAAGGGGATGGAAGGGGATGGAAGGGGATGGGAGGGGATGGAAGGGGATGGAAGGGGATGGAAGGGGATGGGAGGGGAGGGGAGGAAGGAAGAGGACGAGAGAAATTGGAATGAGCGCCAATGCCCCTGGGGTCGAATTGCACTGCCGCACAAAGGCCGGATGCGAGGTGCTCATAACGAAAAAGGGGTCTGCGACAGGTGAGAGGGAAGGGAAGAGAAGAGGCTAGAGGACACATTACAGGTCTGAAGAGGCTCCAGAGCAAGGGGCGGATGAGAAAGAGAGCAGTAGGCATAGTTTTGGTGAGGCTATTCAGGTTGGGAGTTCGGCACATGCTAGTTTAAGGGACACACCCTGGTAACACCGTAATACACCACATGTTATGGCATGTCACAGCATATTACACCAGCTACACTATGTGACCAGGCCAGGAGCAGAGTTGAGAGAACCAAGATGCTGAGCAGAAGCAGAAGCAACAGCACAAATACAAGATGCTTTACAGCGTTAACAGTGTTACCAGGTTACCAGGCCAGAAGCAGAAGTTCAGGGCGTCCAGCAGCAGCAGATACTGCACAGTCAGAGGCCCGCCGTCGTAGAAATGCACTCCGTCGAAATTCCAAGGCGGTAGCCTCAACGTGCTCCTGCCAGGACCGGCTTGTGTCGCATCGCTTGTAGCATCAGTTGTGGTCTGGACTGAAGCATCGCCGGTTGTAGCACCAGCGGTTGTAGCACCCGTCGTAGACCGACCTCTATCTGACGCGCATAGCGCATCCGCAAGCGCCTCAACCGCTGAAGAGATTCGGAACAGAAAGATGAGATTCGGATGGGTAAGATAGAGGTTGGCAGGAATCCTGGAGTTGAGACCATACAACGAACAACATTGCGGAAAAGCGCGACCAGGAAAGTAGCGGGAAGTTCTACGTTGGTCGTCAATACGGTAATACCTCGGTCGTCGATTGTGCAGTGCGTCGACTGCGAAGCGACCCACTCGCATCCCTCGCGTAGATCGCGCAAGCAGTCCTCCTCACCCACGTCCATGAGCGATAGATACCCTAGACGAGCAGCTGATCGCGATCAGTAACTAGAGTGCTTGCCAGTTTATAATCAGTAGCTAGAGCACTGCAGCTTGTTCACATGAACCGATTTGGAAGCCATTTGTTCTCTTCACAAGTTGGAGCAAGTTAGGCCAGCCTGCGAGGAGAACAATGATCAGGGGCGAGACCGAATGGAATAAATTTGGTTGCAAAGTGGTTCAGAGATTCTGAAGAACATTTAAAACGGTGCTGCGGAAGGGGCTGAAGTTGGGCTGGGGTCTCGAATTCCAAATCCTGCGCTCCTGCTGAATTCTGAGACTGGTGTACTGTACCTCGAACTTATCAGCCAAAAACGATCCGCGTTTTTAGTTTCCTCGACCTGAGAATCCCAGATTGCAGCCGCAGAACACCAAGATTGTTAACAAACCTAACGATGCTTAACGCCCAAACGCCCACATCCAAGTACCACCAGCAAAAATCCCATGGTAAAAAAAATGTCATAGCCTGAAAATTAGTACCTGATTCCTGTAGCACAGATTGCTTTGTCCATCCTGCAGTGCTGCTTACTTTCCCAGCCAATTTGCCTCACAACAGCGCATACTGAAACCAACAGAAGCTACCTGACAAAACTACCATCACCACCACTGCCTGCAGCTGCACATTCACCCCAGCACCCAGTGGCACCCAGTGGCACCCAGTGGCACCCCTAGCACTTAGCCCTGCGTCATTGCCCAGCTACCAACGCACCATCACCAACAGCACCACCTCCTGCAGATGCGGCTGCTTGCTGCCCCTCCATCCCTGCAGCAGCAGCAGGAACCGCTGCCGCTGTGGGCGCAGGTGCAACCAGTGCAGGTGGCACGAGCGTTTCGGGCTTTAAGTGCGGCAGCATGGCATGTACAGCGCGCCACGTGGCGCTCCACAGGCTCTCGGTGTCTGATGCGTCAGTGACCTGTAACACCCCCTGTGCCAGCATCACCATGAGCATGTTCTTCAGCACCTCCCCCACACTCTCTCTCAAAGACTCACCCGACCCACCACCTCCTCTCCCCTCCCCTCCTCCCCCCCTCCTCTCCTCCCCCCACCGCCCCCGCTCCCTCCAGCCCTCATATACCGGTCCATCCGAAGCAGCACGCCGAGCCACAAGGCTCGGAACCCCGGGCCTGGCAGCGAGGCCAGGCTGCCCAGAAAATGAAGAAACACCTTGGAGAGCGTCTTGATCGCCCGCAGCAGCGACGCCTCCATGCCCCGATACTCCTTGGGCTTCTCCCTCAGATGAACCTCTAGAAGATCATCTAACAGGATGAATACCACCTGGTCGAAGCAGGGCGCCCACATGGGAGGGGGCATGCGCAGGGGGTCGGCGGCCAGGAGGCAGCGCTGCAGCCAGACTAGCGAGTGGTTGCGCACGTCCTCCCGCTGGTCCGAGCACACGCGGCGCAGCGCGTGCAGCAGGCGCAGCCACAGGTCGGCCAGGTCCTGGCCTGAGAAGCGACCTGCTCCAGATGCACCTCCCCCTCCTGGTGTTGCTGCTGCTGCCAAACCGGGTATGGGGCTCATCTGAGGGGGAGAGAGGGCGGCAGCAGCAGCAGCTGCTGCTGACAAGGGCGGTTGCTGTTGAGGGGAGAATGCACCGCAATTCACACCTGGTAGCGCACCACTCGTACTCTCACCCTCACCCGTACCAGCTACTGCTGCTGCTGCTGCCACTGCTGCTGCTGCTCGTTCCGCCTCTGCTGCTTGCTCCACCTCCCCTGCCGCCCTCCACTCCAGCAAGCAGTCAATCAAGCACCCCAGCAGGTCCAGCGCCCGCTTGGACCGGTCCGAGCCTCCTACCCGAGCCTCGGCGAAATCCCGAGCCGCATCGAGGAAGGGGATGAAGTTACAAGGAGAGATGCAGGGAGGCCCGTCAATGCACACCTCCCCATAATCCTCCGCCCCACCAGCAGCAGCAAAATCCCCAGAGAATGCCGAGGCGAGAGCAGCAGGAACAGAACCGGGAGCAGCACCACCAGGGGGAATGGGAGCCATGAGCCAAGACAAGGCTTCAAAGCCAGGAGCAGCAGCGTCAGGATGCCTGGCTGTGATAGCCAGCAGCGCAGCCAGGGTTCTCCACCCGGGGGGGGATTTCACTCTCCTCAGCGCCCCACTCTGCCGGCCCTCCCGCACGATTCTCAGCACGCCCCGCGTGATCCGCTCACAGAGCGCGTCTGCCAGCCTGGCATCGAGTCTCAACACGTGCTGGAGCGACCTCAGAAGCTCGTCTGCTAGGGTTTCGTCCGCCTCTGGAAGCAGCTTTCGGCAGAGACGGAGGAGGCCGAAGACGGCTCGTTCGACCAGAGGGCCAGGTGGCGGCCCGGCATTGGCCGACTGCATGATGATCGCGAGCTGGGAGGAGAGGGTCGGCCAGATGAGCAGCACACGCAAGCGGTTACGTAGGGTTACCACTAAGAGGAGGTCGAGACAGAAAACGGCAGTGTCCTCCTCGTCAGGGGAGAGAGGGCCAACAACCACCCCTCCTCCACTCCCCCCCACCGGGGTCCCACCAGCACCCCCTCCTCCTCCCCCTCCTCCTGCTCCTCCTCCTCCACCTCCGCCTCCTCTTCCCCCCACCCCACCCCCACCAGCAGCACCACCCGCCCCCGCCCCACCAGCACTCCCCCCACCAGCGCCCCCAGGCCCCATCCCCAGCGCGCCCCTAAACGGCCTCCCTGCAGCCCACACTATCGCCCTCACCAGATGCATCAGTGCCTCCGGCTGCAGCCTCTCAGCCGTTGATCGAAACAGATCCTCGATTCTGCACGCCCCTACCGCCTCCTCCGTGCGCTGCCGCGCCGCCACCTGGCGCTCTGTGGGCTGCGCTGAGCTGGCGCCGCCGTAGGAGTAGTCGTCGTCAGAATCGAGGAGGAGGAGTTGGGAGAAGCGGAGCATCAGCCCGCCGCCGCCGCCCCCGCTGCTGCCTGCTGCTCCTTTCTTTCGCGCTGCAGCTGCTGCTGGGCTGGTGATTGCTAGGGTTGATGTGGAAGCAGTGGTGGTTGAAATGGTGGAGGAGGACGGGGTGGGGCTGATTCCCATCTGCTGCTGCTGCGGCTGCTGCTGGGGGTATTGGGGCTGTGGAGAGGCGTATAACCCCCCCGTGAACGCCCCATCCTCTGTATCCTCTGCCTCGTTAATAACACGAGCAGGCAGCAGTCCCAGCTTATGCAGCCTCACCGCACAATCGAGTAGGTTCCGCCACCCTCCCCGGACCACCCCCCGTGCCTGTTTGCCAAACCAAACACAGTCACCGCAGCAAGCCTGGCTTTGGTATCCTCTCCAAACGCCACTGCAGCTGCGTTGTCCACTAGATCTGCGCCACTTGGCAGCGATCCGGAGGGGTTCAATCGGAGCGTGGTGCAGCGGCAGAGGGAGACCACTAGATCGTCCAGCGCGCCCGAGAACCCGTGAAAAGCCGCCACGTCAGCAGCGGCGGAAAACCCGTCGGTGCAGCAGCGGAGCAGCATCTCGTCGTCTTCTGTGTGGTCGAAGACAACGGATATGGCGGCTATGGCTGGGCCTGCCACCACTGCAAACACGTCCCTGTCTAGTTGAAGCAGGAAGAGGGAGGAGGAGGAGGGGGGGAGGGAGAGGTTGGAGAGAGGCGGGGAGAGCGTGGAGAGGTGCTTGGATGGGGGGGAGGGGCGCGGGGGGAGGAGGACTGTAAGAGAGGGGGGGCAGGGGGGAGGGATTCTGAAGCGAGGAATGCGGGAGTGGCAGGGTCGAGAGATTGATCGATGGCGACATGGGCTGAGGAGTTTGAGAGAGACTCGGTGCTGGCCCTCTCGCCTATGCCAGCTGCACTCCTCCCGTCTGCTCCTCCCTCCCCATCTCCAGCACCACTTGCACCACTACCAGCACCAGCAGGAGCACCGGCACCAGAACCAATACCAAAACCATCAGCAGCAGCAGCAGAAGAGAAAAGATCAGGCTCAGCACTGGCAGCGAGAATGTACGGCACAGCAGTTGGCGACCGTCGGATGAGCCCGAGCCAGCGGCTGAGATTCATCTCGGGGAAGGCGGAGGCGGAGGAGGAGGAGAGGGAGACGTCGGAGGACATCTTGATCTCGTTGCGTGCGATGGCGTGATACAAGTCTGAGAGGAGCTCCCTAGGGAGGTCCTTGCCATCATTGATTTTCCTGTTGTTGCGGATAAACTCTTCCTCTGTCATCTTGCGCCGCACCTAATGCGGGGTGGAAGGGGAGAGGTGGGAGGTGGGAGCAGCGAAGAGGACATTTGATGACTTGTTGATCTTGTTGCGCGCTTCGGCGTGCTACACGCCTGAGAGGAGCTCCCGGGCGGTAGGTCCTTGCCATCACTGAACTTCCTGGGGGGGATGGGATAGCTGGGGATGCATGGGGGGGATGCATGGGGGGGATGCATGGGGGGGATGCATGGGGGGGATGCATAGGGGGGGAATGCATAGGGGGGGAATGCATAGGGGGGGATGCATAGGGGGGATGCCGGGGGGGGATCCATGGGCGGGATTCATGGGGGGGGATGCATGGGGGAGGGATGCATGGGGGGGATGCATGGCAGATCAGATCTATGTGCCTAAAAGCAAGATGCCCAAAGACCCTCTCACCTGTCCGTCGTACAGGTCAGTCGTGAGCATGATGATTGAGCACGACAGCGCATGCACACTGGTGGATACGATATCCCACGTGTAGCAGATCCCAAAAGGCCCTCAGATCCCATGCATTCACTCACCTGTCCATACTACAGGTCGGTATTGAGCATGAGGACTGAGTATGACAGCACATACGCTGCTATATGCCCTACGTTCTCAACTGGAACCTTCCCTCGCCTGCCCGTTATAGAGGTCGATATTAAGCATGATGATGGAAGGCGACAGCACATACACGATGTCATGGTTGATAAACCCATGCGCCACCATGGCCTACCTGCACTCAACCTCCCCAGTCCCCACCCACCCCACTCATTGCTTACCTGCCCGTTATAGAGATCAGTGTTGAGCAATGAGCATGATGAGGTGAAGAGGTGCAGCATCCCTACAAGCCACACCCCATTGCAGTCACCCCTACAGATTCCCTCACCTGCCCGTTATACAGGTCCTTATTAAGCATGATGACTGAAGGCGATAGCACATACGCGACGTCATGGTTCGCAAACCCATGCGCCGCCATGACATACCTGCACTGAACTTCCCCAGTCCCCACCCACCCCGCTCATTCCATACCTGTCCGTTATAGAGGTCCGTGTTGAGCATGATGACAGAGTACGACAGCACATACGCCACGTCATGGTTGGCAAACCCATAAGCCGCGGGCGCCAGCTCATAGTACCGCTCCGCAAACGCCTCCAGCACCCGCGAGATCTTCTGCGCTTCCCCAGGCAGCCGGAACCCCTCTAAGAACGTCCTCAGCGCCGCATCCAGCGCCATCCCCTCAAAGTCAAACAGCTTAGCGAATTCCCCTAAAACGCGGACGTGGAACTCGTCATGCCCCCCCAGCAGGTCCCCCACCAGAGTTTTGTTAAGTCCCGGTGTGAAGCGGAGGAAGCAGGCGACGGCGCGGGCGTCGGGATGGGGGGGGAGGAGGCCCGAGGATTGGAGGAACTGGAGGCCTTTCTTGGAGTCCCGGTTGAAATGCTCCACGCCGATGAGGAGCCGTCGCTTGATCGACCTCTGCTGCCGCACCACCTCCACTAGCAACAGCTGCTGCTGCTGCTGGTTCTGATTCTGGCCTGCTTGCTGCTGCTGCTGCTGCTGAGAAGGAATCTGCCGCTGAAATCCGTCTGCAGATGCTGACACGTCCACTAGCATGCCTGTCGCCCCCTCGCCTGCCCCAGCAATAGCAGCAGCAGCTAACGCAGCAGCAACCATCTCCCGAGCCTGCGTCCACATGGCTCCGTTCTCCGAGGCTATCTTCAGCTCTGGCGCTGCCGGCACTGCCGAACCTGGCAGCAGCAATGGGTTTGGCGCCGCAACACCAGCACCAGCACCAGCACTAGCAGCAACACCAGCGGTAGCAGCAGAGCCAGCAGCAGCAGCAGCAGCAGCAGCAGCAGCGGCGGTATTTGCCCGATCCGCCATATGGTGCACCACCGCCAGCAGCCCCTGCATCGCCAGCACGTGGAGCGACGAGAGCGGTGTGTTCACTGGGAAAGCTGCCCGGGACAGCAACCCCGAGAGCTCCTCCAGGCAATTCGCACACGTCAGGTCCGCGTCAAAGTTGGCAAAAGTTTCCACGGCGAACTCGGGCAGGCGGCAGAAGTCTAGGAGGGCTTCCAGGGCAGCTTCCTGCTGGGCGAAGGACGTGGCTGTGAACTTTCCGGCTGTGCCGACAAGACGGCCGAGGACGCAGGTGTAGAAGGCCTCTAGCTGCAGCTTGAGGTGGGGGCGAGCGGAGTGGAACAGCGTTTGCACTATGGCCAGGACCTGTAAGCAACAGGAAACGAGGGAAGGTGGAAAGAGGTGGCGGTGAAGTTCCGTGTGTGGGTGAGACAGCCGAGGTTGCAGGTAAAGAAGGCCTCTAGCTGCAGCTTGAGATGGGGGCGAGCGGAGTGGAACAGTGTCTGCACTATGGCCAGGACCTGTGGGTTGGGAGATGGGGGAGATGGGAGATGGGAGGGAGATGGTGGTGAGCATGAGAGACAAAGGTTGAGTAACACAGGTGAAGAAGGCCTTCAGCTGCAGCTTGCGGTCCGGCTGTGTGGAGTGACAGAGCGTCTGCACTATGGCCAGAACCTGTGGGGGATGGGAGATGGTGTGATCACGTGATCATGCCACATGGAAACATGTAACGGTTTGACACGTAGCTGAGGAAGGAGGAGGCGCGAACCCCTGAGAAGGCCCATGCCTGCCCTGTGCTGTGAGAGCAGGAGCAGGCTGGAGAAAGAGCAGGAGCAGATGCCTCACAACTGATGAGGGGGATAACCAATGAAGAAAAACCTCTGTTTTTTAGGGGAGCCTAAAAAATAGACTGATGAGGGGGATAACCACAACTGATGAGGGGGATAACCACAACTGATGAGGGGGATAACCACGACTGATGAGGGGGATAACCACAACTGATGAGGGGGATAACCACAACTGATGAGGGGGATAACCACAACTGATGAGGGGGATAACCACGACTGATGAGGGGGATAACCACAACTGATGAGGGGGATAACCACAACTGATGAGGGGGATAACCACGACTGATGAGGGGGATAACCACAACTGATGAGGGGGATAACCAATGAAGAAAAAACTCTGGAAGGAGGAACACACCTGAGGGAGAAGAGAAAGGGCAGTCCTTTGAAAGCAGGCACACACACACCTGCGAGAGGACAAGGAGGTTGGGGGAGAGCCCCAGCTGCAGCAGCGAGCGGAAGAGCTCGTCCTGAATGAGCGACAGCAGCCGCGGGTGCCTCACAACCGAGGGGCCAGCGAGCTCCAGAGCAGCTGAGATAAGGCTGAGCGCCAGCAGCGACACATCGTCATCTGCTAGCATGCCCGAGGCGAAGAGAGCCGACTGGTGGTCCTCTAGACCAAGCAGCGAGCAGAGGAAGTGGAAGACCTCCACTGCACATGCCACCCCATGGGGCCGACCCAGGGACGCCAGAGAGGCATTGTTAGGGTTGCTGCCTGCTCGCTCCCCGTCTTCCTCCTCCCCCTCCTCGCCGGCCTCGCCTCTGCTGACGTTCCCCTGTCCCCGAGGCTGTTCATTAGGGTCGGTGGGATGGGAAGGTTTGGGGGTTGCCGAGGCTGAGGTGGGGGGGAGGCCGTTGGCAGTGGGGATGGAGTGTGGTTCGCTGCCAGTGCTGCTGCTGCTCGCTCTGCCGGTGGTTGGCATGGTGGTTAACCCTCCTGCTGCTCCTATTGTCGTGGGGGCTGCTTCAGCCTGCACAGCAGCAGCAGCAGCAGCAGCAGCAGCAGCAGCAGCAGCAGCAGCAGCAGCAGCAGCAGCATAGACAGATAGCGTGTTTTGATGCGCCTCAAAACATAGCAGCGGCAGCAGCAGCAGCAGCGCAGATAGAAAGATGCAGGAAGCGCGAGATGGAGCCAACGAGGCAGAACAGACACACTCCACACACACACCCTTCCCTTCCCTTCCCCCCCTCCCAGTGTTAAAACCCCTTACAAACACCCTCCTTTCCCCCGCCCCCCTGATATCAAACCCCTTGCATCCCACTCACCTGACCAGCGTTCCCGCCATCTCTGCTCTCCCCTCCCTCCCCCTCCTCCCCCGTCGCACCCCCCAGCTCCAACCCCCCTTCCCTCGCCTCCACCCTGGGCGAGAACGGAGTGCTATCCATCGTCCCCTGCGTCGCCTCGCCCTCGCCCGACTCCCCATCCTCCTCACTCGCTGGGGGGTGCAAAAGAAACACACGTCCCACACCCCCCTTGTTAGTAAACCCCTTCAATCCCACTCACCTGTTCGGCGTTCACGGCGTCTCTGCCCTCCCCTCCCTCCGCTTCCTCCACCGTTGCACCCCCCAGCTCCAGCCCCCCGTCCTTCCCTTCCTCCATCCCGCCCTCCCTCGCCTCCACCCTGGGCGAGAACGGGGTGCTATCCATCGTCCCCTGCGTCGCCTCGCCCTCGCCCAGCTCCCCATCCTCCTCGCTCGCGGGCAGCTCGGGCAGCCGCCCAAAAATCTCCCGGACCATGTCGAGGAGCGTTTGGCAGGCGAGGCGCTGCAGGAGGTGGGATTTGGAGGCGGCCTGGTGGAGCACTCGGAAGCACGTGTTGACGATGCTGCACATGTGGCGGTCAGACAGCAGCGGGCCTGCTGGGCTGCGAACCGTTTCCAAGAGAACCTGGGAAGGAAAAAGGGGCAGAGAGAGGGAGGGGGGGAGAGAGGTATCGTAGGAGGTGGGATTTGGAGGTGGGATTCGGAGGCGGCCTGGTGCAGCACGCGGAAGCACGTGTTGACGATGCTGTACATGTGGCGGTCGGAGAGGAGAGGGCCTGCAGGGCTGCGGACCGTCTCCAGGAAAACCTGGGAGGTGGGATGGGGGGGGAAACGGGAATGAAGTCTAGTTTTGAGGGGGGTGGGGGGGAAAACTAGTTCCTCAAAACTAGTCTCCAGGAGAATCTGGGAGGTGGGATGGGGGGGAAAAAGGAAACGAGGGGAGAGGGAGGGGGAGGAAGCGCAGCAGGAGGTGGGGTTTGGAGGCGGCCTGGTGCAGCGCACGAAAGCAGGTCAGGTGTAGACGATGCTGCCTGCACATGCGGTGGTCCGAGGGGCTGCGGACCGCCTCCAAGAGAGCTTGGGTTGGGAGGGAAAAGGGGGTTGGGAGGGGCGCGAGAGGGAGCAATAGCGATACGTTGCGTTGTTAGGTGTGTTTGAGTGAGATCAAACGTCATCAGAATGGAGGCCCGTGGTGCACACTTTCTATATTCTAGAGCTGTTTGCACAGTCAAGGGACCAGGAACAGATGTAGAGCAGACTCGCCAATGATCGCTCCTGAGAAAGCACAAAAGCGAGAACACAAGTACCGAGCAAGCGCCTGTTACCAGTCTGGAAAACAAGTACCCCTGAAGCAGAGGGGAGAAATACCAGGAGGTTCTTGACGAGAACTGCGTCTTCGGACACTAGGTCAGTGACCTCGAGGCGACACGACGTCAGGGCGTCCATCACAGTTTGAATCCCCACAACGTCGACTGATTGAAAAACTCACAAGCCAGGGGACAATTACTAGCTGAGAGTACTTGCAGGAGGAGTTGAAATGACCAGTCTGCGGGAAAATACCTGACGCAACAATCTTCACAAAAACCCGCTTTCTCTGACGCAGCTCTACTTTTGAGACGTCTGAACGCACGAGGCGGAATTTACCAGGAGGATTTTCACAAGGACCGCTTCCTCTGACGCTAGGTCGGTGACCTCGAAGCGGCCCAACGTCACAGCATCCATCACCATGTAAATCCCCACCGCCGCTCCCCCGACGTCTGTCTGCAAGACGTTACCTGAAGGATCTTCATTTTGCAGGGTGTTTTTGAGAATTCTCGATTTTGCAGGGTGTTTTTGAGAATTCTCAAAAGCTCCCCCGACGTGTGTCTGCAAGACGTTACCTGAAGGATCTTCACAAGAACGGCTTCCTCTGACGCTAGGTCAGTGACCTCGAACCGACATGACGTCACTGCATCCATCACCATGTGAATCCCCACCGCCGCTCCCGGCGTCGACTGATCGAAGAACTGCAGATTGAGAATCTTCAGGATTGACGACAATGCGACGCTGGTAACTATCGTGTTAGTTCGTTCAGATCGCACAACGTCGAGGAACGGCACCAGGTACGCAGAAGGCGGCACGCGAGCCGCCTCCCAGTCGTCGTCCGACCAATCGGTGACGATCTTCTGCCTTAGGTCTTTAAGATTGCGTAGCAGCGGATCTTCGGCGTCCGCGCCGGAAGTTTCGTCGAGGAAAATGGGCGACACGGCCCATTTGGAGCTCTGGCGCATGACAGCCAATAGCGTGTGGATCTCCGTGCTGAGCTGGCACGCTCGCCGGTGAGCGTGCGTCCTGCTGAAACCGGTCCTTCCGACAGCCGTTCGACCTGCACCGGTTCTACCGACACCCATTGTGGATGTTCCTGGTCGGCTCGGCATGGTTTCAGCGGCGAATCAAGGGGAATGACAGGCAGCGATAGCTGTCAAATTAGCCTTTACTACGCGAAAGTCTACATGGGAGAGAGCGACGAAGGAAAATCAGCTCGAATGTGAAAAAGGGAGTGACGCTATCGACCAGATAAGCAGAAACGACCAGGTATGCAGGAGTGATAAGCAGCTCCCCAACGCTGTTGTTTCAAATGGAGAAGCAGTTAGGGAACACGGCAGATCGCGAGGGCGACTGAAGCTACAATAAGGTTCAACCGCAGGTGCTTGAACGACACATTACAGCCGACTCAAACTCACAACAAGCTGTCACGCATAAGGAACTGGGGATTGGCTGGCTGCCGTGTCTGAAGTATGGCAGCGTTCTACTTCACACACTCCGTGAAGCTCACATATCGGCCCAAGGCCTATTTTATCAGAGTAATTTACTCTTTTTCTCTGAAAATCAGAGTCGTTTTTTAAAACTGCTCTAGGGGCCCTGAGTTTTTTTTAAAAAGGATTTACCCTTTCTCTGATTTTATCCGAGTAAACCTTTGTACCACTCTGATGGTCAGTGTATAGGGGGGATACCTGTGAAATTGTCCCCGCCCCCTGTACCTAGCCGTGCCTCCGTGTCCCGCAGAACAGGTAATGTCACGCGCACTAGCGAAATCATCGCCTGGCCTGTGCTCGAGGCTGTGTGAGGGGGCTAATTGTCCCTTCACCAAAATCACCACGCCATTTGTGCTCGAAGGCTTGTGAGGGTATTGAGTGGCCCTTCACCAAATCTAGGGCTCGAGCGAGATGCATTGTTGGCTGCATGAGGGCGTCTTGGGCCCTTCACCAGATTTAGGGCCAACGTGTGCTCGCAAGGGGAGGGGAGTGCAAGATTCCCCTTCCCCGCCCCTGTTGTGTCGACCTTCCCTGCCAGCTCGATTCGCTCCGCCCCTGCAATCTCTCAATCCTTCCCCTTCGTTTACCCCCCATCTCCCGATCTTGCCCCGCACGTACAGATGACCCTGCTGCAGAGAGTTAGTTGAAAAACCTTTTTGCATTGTCAGTGTATTAAAAAAAATGGAAAATCAGAGAAACCATTGGGGAGCACTATGATTTTCAGAGTAATGAAAAAAGCCACTCCCTGATTACAGAGTAGCAAAAATCCAAAAATAGGCCCTGCCAAGAACGTTGCAAGTTTCATTAAATAATATTGTAATGTGCTTTACTGTAGTTATAGACTCTCTCTGCTGTTGTGGAGCTAACTGAAACGACTGAAAGCTATTGGAAGGTCAGCTCTGTAACAAAACCATTAGGAAGAGTTTTGATGGATTGTGGGGATTTTCTTTAAACAAGAGTCTGGAACAAGAGCCACAATAATACAATGTGGAGTACAAGAAACCAAAAACGGGGCAGCTAAAAACGATGGGGATAGGGAAAATGAAAAAAGGCAAGCAGGGAAAAAGAGACAATGAAGAGAAAAACTAAGCAACCCAATAGGCATGGGAAAGAACCGAGGGACCCAGGAATAGGCAGACACGTGTCAACAGCCACTCGCCCACCAAGTAAGGCGCATCACATCCGCCCACGAAGCCCCCCACCCATCCTCCTGCTCAACCCCCCCCCCCCTCCCCCCCACCGCTCAGCCCACGCGACATCTGACCCCCCAATCATAAAAGCCGCACGCAACAAAATGACTCTCGTCTGGGACCGCTGCAAGCCACCCTGATACACTGAGGGAAAAAACTGTCCGGATAAATGGGTTTAGGCTATTGCCGGTCAATTTTTGCCTGTTATGGTAACAATAAGTTTCCACAAATTTCCTTGTGTGTATAACAGTGCGTATATTCATGAACCCACCGAGTTGAGGTTTGTAATAACGAAGAGGTCTAACGTATGATAAGGCTTTGCAAGATGGACTGCTTCCGGACAGTTTTTTCCGATCGACGTTCGACATCTACATTCGCCACCGGTCTTAAATTAGGTCTCGATCTAGCGAACTTCTCGCCGCCGCTCCGTAGCCCCGTAGTCCGCACACGGTCCAGACGCCATGAAGCCGGTCGATGAGAAGCGACGAGCACGTATTATCGAGCTTCTGCGCAAGGGGGTTAGCGTGCGGAAAATAGCGAAAGATTTAGGTGTAGGTAAAAGCACCGTCCATGACTACGGTCTCAAAGTCATCGGTGAGACTAGCCGCGAAGAGGTGCGACCCACAATGCCGCCAGGTGGAAGGCCACGTGTTATATCACCCCGACTCCAGCGCACCGTTATTCGAGCTATTACTAGTGGCGCGGCGAAAACGAGCGTTGACGCGGCGAAAATGCTAGGAACAGCACACGATGTTAACGTATGCCCCAAGACAGTTAGGAATTCTCTTCGTGAAGCTGGTCTAGTCGCAGTATCGCAACCGAAGAAACCGCGACTGTCCAAGCAGAACATTAGGGACAGGCTGGAGTTTGCCAGGGCGCACGTAGACTGGACGCTTGAGGACTGGAAGCGCGTTATTTGGTCCGACGAATGCAAGATAAATCGGTTTTGCTCGGACGGCCGCGCATACGCCTGGATCCGCGACGGCAACAACCTGCAGAGCCATCAAATCCGACAAACGGTGAAGCATGGAGGGGGTTCTGTGATGGTGTGGGGATGCCTGACCTATGACGGCGCGGGTTTTATGTGCAAGATAGATGGGAGGATGGATGGGCCATTGTATCGCAGCATTTTACAGGATGAACTCACATCCACTATCGAGTTCTATAGCCTCACGCCATGTAAAGTCATTTTCCAGCATGATAACGACCCCAAGCATAAGTGTCGCCTAGTGCAGGAATACCTTGGGGAGCAGGACTATTCCGTGCTCGTCTGGCCCTCCTCCTCCCCCGATCTTAACCCGATCGAGAATCTCTGGGCTCACCTCAAAAAGGAGCTGTCCAAGTACGAGCAGCCACCATCAGGAATGGTGGAACTTTGGGAGCGGATCCAAGAGGAGTGGGAGCAGATTCCCGCGGATTTTTGCAAGAGGCTCATAGACAGCATGCCGAAGCGTGTGCGTGCTGTGATCAAGGCTGGGGGAAGATGGACTAGCTACTAGAATCTGGATTAGTAGATCTTTTGGTGACAAGGGAAAAAACTGTCCGGATGATGACCTTGTATGTATAATGTGAACTGAGCATGTTTGTATGAGGTGAACGAGCTAACACCAAGGGACAGAGTTGAGACTACATGTGCCCATGACACAAGAATGTTCTCACATTAAGGCTTAATCATTCTCTGAAATTATGGCTAAAAAACGCAATAGATCCCCTGCATCCGGACAGTTTTTTCCCTCAGTGTAGCAGCCTTCAAAGACCCAATCAAAGAAGCTGAGAAAGTCTTGTCATTTTTCCCGCCTGCCCCCTTGCTCCTCGCCACCTCGAGCTGGACATCCCCCTGCTGCCACAACCATCGGCGGAACCCCCCCCCCCAAGTCTGCCCCAAGTCTGGACTATAGAGGAGTGAACTGCCTTGTAATCGGCCGCCTTCAACTTCTCCCTCTCCCGAGCAGCAAACTCCACCACGCACCCAATCCACCCATGCTGCACTGAAGAGAGGGAAATGGGGTCCACGGCGCTCACCTCAAGTACAAACGCCTCACCCTCCATCGGGCGAGGAACCACCACATCCACCTTCTTACCCAGAAGAAGTGTGTCATCCTCCATCGTTACCATCCGCCCGAGCTCTTCGCGATCCTGGCCGCGACAAATTTCACTGCGTCGTGGACAAGAGAGGGGGCATACTGATGCTTGCAGCGGAGGGCATGGTGCGGGTCCGACGGGTCGACAAATGCCATCCCACAAGTGCACCTACCCTAAACAATCAGATGCTGAATTGGCAAGCTGGGGCGCATGGCCGCACAGATGCTCCACTCGGTCACGGTAAAAGTAGCATCGTTATGCTGATAAACCGCAAAGACTCACGCCCCCGCCCTCGGGCTCTGGAGGGATATTAAATGGGCCAAAGTGGCGGCGTCACGAGCTATGCAGCGGAGGGTCTGCAGACGCTCAACAACGAGACGATGCTGCTGAGTAGGAAACAGCAACAACGGGGGATCAACGACGAACAGGGAGAGGGTCGACAATCTCCTGCCAAACGGACAGAGGAAGCAGGAAACAGCCCTGGCAAACCAGGGGTCCAGGAGTTGGCCCGCCTCCGGCGCACGGCAAAACTCCGCAAAATCAGCTCCTCGCCCTCCAATGCTAATGGGGCGATGGCAGAGACTGCCTGACACCAGCCGTATACGTAAGATATGGGACTAAGGTCGGCCATCGAGCGGATACCGAAGCCCTCTAACCTAGCTGGAAGGTGCAGCCGAAGGCGGGCCATGCGCGATTTCTGAGCGTCAACCTCCCACGTACTAGGCGGAAACAACTGCTCAAAGCAATCCTCCAGGGCAGTATTCCAGTCCCGAAATGCATCCACTACCTCCAGCTGAAGGGGCATCGTCCGCAAAAGGTACTGTAGTAAGGGTGTGCGGATACCGTAATCGCCAAGTGATGTGATGCAATCTGCAGGTAGTCCAAGAATAGGAGCCATGGTAAGGGTGTCTGCAATTGCTTGAGGCGCTCGCGCAGGGATGCCACCTCTTTGTCCTCCTCCCCAACAGAAACACCCATGATTGTAAGTCCATTACACGCCCGCTACAAGCTTGACAGCAGCTCCCCGCCCCCATCCCTGCCCCCCCCATCGCCTCCGTCCTCGCCCCCGCCCGCGCCCCCGTCCCCGATCACACCCTCGCCCCCGGCCTCGCCCCCAGCTGCGCCCCCGCCTCTGTCCCCACCCATGGTCCCACGCTCTCAGAGACGGCACTTGTGCGATTGCACCTTCAAACCAAGCCCCCCCAATCGTCCGCCCCGAACCTCATAAGCAGTAAAGACCCTATCCCGGGGCCCCAAAACGAGCATGCTGTCCACGTAGCTGCGAAAAAGGACATCCGGGAAGTCCTCGATGGTGGGCTCCCTCGCCAAGATGAGGCGAGGGAAAGCGAAGAACATACATGTGGCCGTCTCGTCCTTCGTATGTGACTTGAGGCACTGGAGGATGCATCACAGATCATCAAGAACCCCAAGTCGCACTCGGAGAGAAATCCAACGCATCAACTTGCGTGGAACCCAATCGATGCCAAAGAACGCCTCCCAGTCCCACGATGGCACCAGATCCCATACCGTATCGTCGATATCCTGAGCCACCGGCCCCATGCCCTCCTCATCCCCGGTTAGGTCAGAGGTCAAGCCAAGCGCATGTGCCCGACGCTGGGCAGCGGCCGCCCGACAAGCC